TATTCTAGCCTATTTTATTTATAGTGAGAAGGGCCTAATTAGGCCTATTAGGAATCCGATGAGAGATGAATCATCAACACCTACCTTACTTCTATTATAGCCTATTCTAAGGGATGGGATCTAACTCGATCTATTAGGGAATCGATGGGAACTGAACTATCACCGAATCATACAAGTGCATTATGCATCTATATGGATTTAAGATACTTAAAGTGGCAAACCACATATAATAGCGAGCGGTGAAAAGTGAGGTTTTAACCCTTAATCTCCTACCCCATCATGCCTTAAAAGACTACTATGGTAATAGCTATAAGCCATTTACTGAGATTGATTGCCCCTCTTTTTCCCTTGAATCACGTATAGAATGTATGGTATGGCTACATTGATATTTCAAATGGTAAAAGAATAATCCTTGATTGCACGTTCTTAAACGGCAAGGTGTTGAATAATACTAGTTCTTGGTTTCAATAAGCATCAGTGTTATTAAAATCTTAGATACAAATGCTTGTATTACAATCATGTAAAAGTTTATTTTAGGAAAAATAGTTTAAAACATCAATCACATTTCATCAAATGGATTTTTTAGTCATTCATTTTTAAAATGACGACAACTTTACACCCCCTTACAAAATCAAATCGATAAAATTCTGATAAAGTTTGCCGTTAATCCATCACAGGACACATACGTGTCATTTTCTTAGGTGCAAAAAAAGCTAGGTTCCATTTATAGTCAAACAAATGACCAGATTTATATTTATTTTTGTTATAGGTTACGTGGTAATTTTAGGATAAAAAGTGGTCAGGAATTTAGGTTAGGACCAAATTTCACTGATTTGAATTTGTAATGAACATGAAATTAATATTTTAAAGTGAAGGACGAAAAAACTTATTTAATAAAATGTGATAAATGTTTTGCAACGATTTTTCCTCTTTATTTTATATATGCGATGTGTATGAAAGGTGGCATTTGAAATTCCCTTATCATGTCATCAAAGTTCCTTTTTCCTTTTTTTTTTTTTCCATAAATTTCTTGTTCACACACGTATGCATAAAATTGATTCTGGATAAATCAGAAATGGTCTACATCAAATAGCAGAGGTTATCTAGTCATCCTAATTCCTTGATTAACTTGATCTCCTTGAACGGCTTAATCCCAAGTTCCCAACGGATCATGTTCAACCAAGCCGTAGGCAGCTTTGAAAAGAAAGTGGCTAGCCATTGAAATGCAACCGCATGTCAATAACCAGTGGCCACTTGGCAGCCCCCTGCAGCTGACGACCTGACTCCAGGGCCACCCCTCGGCGCCCTCAACGTCATACGACGTTTCTGGTTGAAGTAGGTGGCCAACTGCTCGAGCCGATAACCTCCATATCCTGTACCCGCCACAATTCAAACTACTCTTTTTAGCAGCCTTTTCCCATATATTGAGATCCTTTTAAATGTTATTCATGCTGGGATTAGATCAATGTTAACATCAGATGAACGAAAATATCCTTTTTCTTAAATTCTTTTGTATTATTGAATTCTGACAAAACGGAAAAGGAAAAAAAAAAAAGGGTGATGTGTTTCTGAAGAACCAAAACCAGTAGTACCTTTCACCTTTGCTTACTGAATAAACAATACAGGCCAAGAGGACGTTAGGCCAACGGTTATAGTTACAACTCACAACATCCCCTCAGATTCACTTGGAATCGAAGCAAGGCAACTGTTTGATTCTTGGTCACCATCTGAACCCAATCTTCACCTTCCTCTCCTTGTTTGGTTCCACTTAATTCAATCCCATCGTCTTCCGTTTCTGTTGTTCCATCCCTTTATTTCCCCCCCTCCGGGCTCACTCTCTGCCTTTGTATTCGTTTCCATGTCAGCTTCGACACATTCCCATCAAGCTTCAGCTCTGTATCTCTTGATATAGGCTTCAAATTTGCCACTAATTCTTTGCAAAATTGAAGCTTTTTGAGAATTATGGAAGATGTGTGGTTTAGTTGTTGCAAAAGTAGCATCAATCTTTCAACAGACACCAAATTCATCGTCAATCATGATTGAAGTTTACGCGTGGTGCTTCATCAATTCAAGAAATGGTCCTCTATAGATTTAGGACACTGAAATTTTAGGTGTGTGAAAATTTTCGTGTGTATAGATTTGCAGTTTGAAGCCTGAATTGGTACTGGTGGCCTGGAAAAAGGTTAGCTGTCAGCTTAGCAATGAATACTCGGTACTTCTTTACACCTGAGTTGGTTTGTAACTCTGGCTTTGCGGATGCAATTTCATCAATTTCTCCACTAGGAGATGATCATAGAATGGTTGTGAGTGCACGAAGTCGGCCATCTTCTCGCGTTCCTCCGTCATCATTCTTAATAAGAATGGCAATGAAAATCTCAAGATCAAGATGGTTTAGCTTTTTAAGAAGAGTGTTCCATTACCAAAATGGACCAAGATCAGACCTGGCCTCTAATCCATTCAATACGGGAAGTTGGATGATGACAGAGTTTGTAGTCTTGGCTGTCCAAATTGCTATGGTTGTATATACATTGGCAATTTCCAAGGAGGAGAGGCCAGTTTGGCCAATGAGGATTTGGGTTTCGGGCTATGCTTGTGGGTGCATCCTCAGTCTGATGCAACTCTGCTGCCGCTATCGGGTGCTTCGTTTAACTCAAAATCAAGGAGAAGGTTCAAACATCTCTGATGTTGAACAGCAGAGAGGCCATGATGACTCAAGGTATGCAGCACATGTTACATCCCCCGTGTGTTCTCCAACTCAATACCTATCTGTGGCACTTGTATTCTACTACAGCTGTTACAATCATTAGTCATATATGCAAAGATCTGTTCTATTTTCTACTTTGGACCTAAACTTATCATTAAACAGTCCTTGGGAAGTGATTAGAACTTTACACTTCAGAGTTGGTACTCTGTTCTGTGATATACTCCTAATTAATAATGATCAGTTACTTTCTGTTTAAGTTTTGGCGGAAGTTTTGAGTAGCTGCATTGCATTGAACAATGCTCAAATAAAGTACATAGAAGGGACTTGTATTCTTTTATTTTTCAATTTTTGACTGATTACTTCTCCAAATAGGCAAGTGTTGAACATTTTCAATTTTGCAGAAGCTTGCACTGCATGAACAAATACCGGACTTTCCTTGAGCTATTCTTTGCAATATGGTTCGTCATGGGAAATGTATGGGTCTTTGATTCTCGTTTCGGATCCTTTCGACATGCTCCAAAGCTTCATGTCCTCTGCATCTCTCTACTCGCTTGGAACGCCATCAGCTACTCCTTTCCCTTCATTTTATTCGTGTTGCTATGTTGCTGCGTCCCGCTGCTGAGTACTCTCCTTGGATACAATATGAATATGGGATCAATTGATCGAGGGGCAACTGACGAACAATTATCCAAGCTACCTAGCTGGAAATACAAGGAGGTTGGCAACAACTTAGAGCTCGGAAATTCAGCCCTGAACAATGAAAATCCTGTAAGTAGCCTGATTACAATCTTTGTCAGTATAACTTCAACAAGTACAGGGAAGCTAAGAGGTCTGATTACGTTTATTTGAACAGGAGTGTTGTATTTGCTTGGCCAAGTATAGAGACAGGGAAGAGATGAGGCAATTACCATGCTCCCATGTATTTCATCTGAAGTGCGTAGATCACTGGCTCAGAATAATTTCTTGCTGTCCTCTTTGTAAGCAAGAATTGGAGAGGTAAAATAAAAAGGGGCAGGAGACGGGAGCAATGAACACTCTGTCAAGTGTCAACAGCACAGCACATTCCTCCTTTTTGCACGAGTTTTGTTCCCATCACCACCACTAGACTGAGCATCTTCTTCTTTATGATTGGCTGGTGCTCCTATTTACTAAAGTTGCTCTGGGAGCGGAGATTAACAGAAACCTGCTCTTGGAGTGGAGTCAATTTAAAAGTTTGCTTTGTCCCTCTAATTAATACTGCGTATGTGCTTCATTTTGATGCATTCTACAGTTGACACGATTGGATATCTTGCAAGTAAGAAGGCCTCCACAGAGAGAAAATTGTAATAATTCGTATAGAATATTTGGTTGCACAGATTTTATACAATGCATTGACATTTTTTTTCAACTTTGTTGCCCCCACACAGTAATAAAATCCATCCTCAGTTTTTGGAGACGTTTTACAGAATTTGGAATCAATACCGCATAGCATGTGATGCGAGTCCCCGAGCAATGTAGACATCTAAAGCTTGAATGGTACCACAAACCAAAGGAGCCAACAATTAGGTACACGAAACACTGCACCAAACTGCCAAACTATTACTAGCACATTCAACCAAAGGTTGGGTTGTTGCCTTGGATGCAAATCCCAACTAAAGTGGAGGACCACTTGAGACAAAGACACCCTCTTTTTCTTTTTCTTCTGCGTATTAAGTAAATTGTTTTTTCCAGTTAAACGTAAAGAAAGAGCAGCCAATTAGTAGCAGTAGTGGTCGTAGTGGGGTATATTATGCTATAGCATGCACGTACAAGATCATCCCAATCGAGATGTATACAGGGGGCATCTCAAAATCTGCTCCATTGTCAACCTTCTGACAATCATATCTGTTCACACTTAACAGCTTTGCCACACGTTTTTCACCATACAAGAAGATTTGGCAAGAACAAAAGACGAATGTGACGTGACATTCACAAAAGAAAAAAAAAAACCCAGCGTGACATAAGTTGGCAGACTTACTAGTACGAGTAATGATTTAACAAAAAAGAAAAAAAATGATGCAGAAGAAGAAAAGAAAGCATTTGGCAGAAAATTAATGTGCATAAAGCTCTTAAATTTGGCTTATTCAATGCTATACTTGCAATCTTTACTTACAACGAAGGGAATTCTGAACATCCAAGTCAGTGCGTGACTGTGTGTAAATTGCACAATTTCAATTTGGGAGTCCATAATAAAGGATAGGGCGGAAATGAAAACGTAAAATAAAAAAATTGCGTTCAGAAAAGTACGCCGCTGATATTTGTTTGTTTGCTGAGCTACGCCAGTCACTGTTTTCTATTTCCATATTTCCACTGCCGCCACCCGCACATGACAGACGAAAGTCCTCTTTCTTAGTTTCTTCCCCCTTACCTCTGGGGTAGTTTGGTTGGCACCTAGCGGCTAGCTCTACTACTTATATCGTCCAATACCCAGCCATATTCATCCCTCTCCATCTCAGGTTTCAGGACTCAGGAGGATCTCACTCTGACTTTCTGAAATTCTCGAGGGTAAAAAAAGAAAACCCAAAAAGAATGAGCGATCTGAAAACTAAATTCTTGGAAGTTTACTCTGTCCTGAAATCGGAGTTACTCAATGACCCTGCTTTTGAGTTTACTGATGATTCTCGGCAATGGCTCGACCGGGTATGCCTTTGCTAGTAGTACTATTACTTTTACATACAGTCAGTGACACCCACGCACGCGCTGCATCTTCAATTCTTTTGGTTGGCCGTGTCATGGAGTATTGCTGAGATTTTTGGCTTTTTCTTCTGCGTATATGGCTTCAATGCTAATTTGTGTGGTACTAGAATTCGGGTGTTACGTGCTACGAATGATTGATTTCAATTGGCTTGTATCCTTTTGTTAATGAAACATGCTCTACGTTTACTCATTTGAGTCTTCATCGTTACTTTGATGTTCCTAGTTTTTGATGTTAGACAATCTTTATGGTATGGTAGTCGGGCCTTCAAGATCGTATTTTCATCTGGGTTTTGGTTTCCTTGTACAGATTGTTTAACAAAATCCATTACCATGAGACTCAAGCAATTTTGCATGCATAAAATTTGCAGTTTTACAGTAAATCCGTTTGTAAAGTGATGACCAAATCAAGCTGCACAAGTAAAGAGTCAAGCTAGGTAGAGGAAGTCCCATTTTCTATTCTATTATGTTAATTCCTTCCATTTTCTTTGGTGGCACAGATTACTTCTTTTAACACTCTTAAGCCTCTATAGTCCCCGTAGAACCTCAATTTGCATTATTTAGCTTTTATGGCATGATTTCATGACTTTGTGAAAGGATAAAGAAGATTTTTGCGATCCATTTTTTCTTTATCTCGCTTTAGAATGGATTTGCAACTTGTGATCATGAATGCTTTAGTTGAATAAATTAGGATTTGACTTTCTGGACTGATTAGCATTGAAGTTTCAGTGTTGTGTAGCATTTGATAGGTTATCTAGCACTTTCACACGTCTAATTTTTTTCTTTTTGGGCATTAACTTTTCAGATGCTGGACTATAATGTTCCTGGAGGTGAAAAGCACATCCTTTAATTACTAAAGTGGATAATCATCTCTGTCTTTTACCTTCTCCTAGTCTTTCTGGACTGTCTTATTTCTTTCTTCCTTTTCTGCTAATGGATTTCAGGAAAGCTAAATCGAGGGCTCTCGGTTGTTGACAGTTACAAGCTGCTTAAAGAAGGAAGAGAATTAACCAGTGATGAAACTTTTCTTGCTTGTGCACTTGGTTGGTGCATCGAATGGGTATGGCTGCATTAGTGCTCTCCTATTTGTGGCTCTGATTTTTCTGTGTGATGTCGTGTTGGTTACTTTGGGTGCCCATAACTTTTGCAGCTACAAGCTTATTTTCTTGTTATGGATGATATCATGGATGGCTCTCACACGCGTCGTGGTCAACCATGTTGGTTTAGATTGCCAAAGGTGCTGTCTTGTGAATTGATTTCTGTACTCTCTCCTCTTTGTCTCGTTCTGAAGCAGTTTGACTTCTTGATTTGAGTTAATAATTACTGTTTTGCTTGGAGTTTTGTCCTAGGTTGGTATGATTGCTGCAAATGATGGCATAATCGTTCGCAACCACATCCCACGAATTCTCAAAAACCATTTCAGAGGCAAGCCTTATTATGTGGACCTGCTTGATTTATTCAATGAGGTAGGGTTATATCTGAAGTTGTGGACGTAGGATCCCTGAATCAATATCAGATATTGCTGAGAAGTCCTCTTGCTTTATTGTTTTATTGAGTGTTTCATCAGGTAGAATTCCAGACAGCCTCTGGACAAATGATTGATTTAATTACCACGCTTGTGGGAGAGAAAGATCTATCCAAATACTCTTTGCCTCTGTAAGTGAGAACTTTTGTTTCACTGTAGTTGCGGTTCGCACGTTTAATGTATGGCCATTCACTTTGTGATACTTGAATATATTTTTTTTCCCTTTTCTAATGCAGACATCGCCGCATTGTTCAGTACAAAACTGCCTATTATTCTTTCTATCTTCCAGTGAGTGGATCTCCAGATTGTTATTGGCTTCAATTGCTGTCTCTATTAATTTTTTTTTATCTTCCAAAAATAATATTTTCTTTTAAATCCTTGTAACTCATTTAAATAGTTCTAGATCGAGTTTATATTCTTGGATGTCTAATATTTTCTCCTTGATCTAAGTATCTGAGCATAAGTTGATGATCTTTACACAGCAATACATATTGTGATGTTGAGAACTCCTTTGGAGTTTGATTTTTCATATTTGCTGGTTTCTTCTTCTGACATAATCTGTTTATGAATAACGTTTTCAGGTAGCCTGTGCTCTCCTTATGTCAGGTGAGAATCTGGACAATCATATTGATGTCAAGGAAATACTAATTGAAATGGGAATCTACTTCCAGGTGCAGGTGAGCATCCTTAGGCATCACGATAACCATACATCTTATTTGATGGCAAAGCATCTTTTCCTTTGGGAATTTGTTGAGAATTCATGCTATCATTCCTAATTTTGTCTTTCTGGGTTCAAGATATTGATTGTTTGCTATTTATACTGTCTGATAAGGCTTAAATATGCGCTTGTAGGATGACTATCTAGATTCTTATGGTGATCCAGAGGTCATTGGCAAGGTAAACCTTAGGTATAATATCTTACATCATTTATGGTTTGTTTAGGTTTTGACAGAAGAACTGGTAAGTTGATGGTGAAATTCGTTTTGTTTTAGATTGGGACGGATATTGAAGATTTTAAATGCTCTTGGATGGTCGTGAAAGCATTGGAAGTCTGCAACGAGGAACAAAAGAAGTTACTACACGTGAGTTCGAAAAGTCATAGTCATCATCCCTTCATTTTTACTAACTCCTATAGTCCGTGTGGAATTTGCCATGCTAACCAGTCGAGGCACATTACCAGGAGAACTATGGGAAGCAGGATCCAGCTTGTGTTGCTAAGGTTAAAGAACTTTACGAGGCTCTCAAAATCCAGGTTCCTATTCAAGCAATTTTGAGTTTTCTGATTGGTTCTGAATACAAAAACTTGGCGCTTGTGTGAGCTGTGTTGTTTGGAGATTTTGAATGCAGGGGGTTGACATGTGACACAGGTCTCTCTTTTGATTTACTTGTTTTGTCTTGCAATCCTTATCAGGATGTGTTTCTGGAATACGAGAGGAAGAGTTATGAGAAGCTCAATAAGGGCATTGAAGCTCACCCAAGCAAAGCCGTGCAAGCGGTGCTGAAATCATTCCTATCAAAGATATATAAGAGGCAAAAATAGCCAGATAATCTGTCACCAACATGGAAGGAACTCAATCTCCTTCGTAGAAATTTGTTGTACTTCTGCACATGGAAAAGGATGTCTACCTCAACAGTGTCTCCTTCCCCCTCTGACACAAGGCTATTGACCAGATAATCTGTGGAGCAGAAGGCCAGATGTTATTGAGACAACGGAGATTGGGCAGAGGAGTTCAAAATAATTATAAAAATAAAGTTGTCTGTTTCTTCACTGAATTAGTGGATTATTCGTACGCACGCACACGTCAGATGTACGGTTTCTTTACCTAGTCACAGTTTTAAAGCAAACAAATAAAGTTAACGCTTAACTTCTCAAATTCTAGAGAGAGCTGTTGACATAATTCTAGTAGAGAGTGGTATTAGATTGTGCTAACGTTTAATGTAGCATTATAATTTTATTAACAGCCTTGCAAATATTTACGTGCTGCAGGATAAGAAATCAACAGAAATGAGGCGTTTCAATTGTATTATATGAGATTGTGTTGCAGTCGAGCTATGCTGACCTTTAGGAAACAGTATTCAGACGCACTTCTTTCTCGGGTTCTTTGTTTTGTGAACAACTCCATCCCTGTAGCCTTCGTCTTCCTCTCATACGCGACTTCTGTGGCCTAAGCCTGGCTTCGGCAAAGGAGATATCCTGCTGCTTAAGTTTCTGTGGCGTTTTATCTGTGGCCTCCTCATTACACACCGCCCCTCTATTGTCATCAACAGAGAACATTTAAATGTTGGTAATTCATTAGAAAGCACATCCACTTTTAGCTCTATCCCAGCTGCTCTTCTTCATCCACCGACTGATCTACAGCATTTATCACTCGTATTGGACATCGTCAGTGATGAACTTGTTATCTGCATTGTCAATGCACTTCCCCTTATAGTTGAGCTGAATCTTGAAGACAGAACGTACAAGGAGCCACTCATGCCTCATGACCTGACCAATAATGGGATACAGTCCTTGGGGTCTTGTCGGCGTCTAACTGCTCTCTCAATTGTACGTAGCAGACAGAATTATCCTGTATGTTTCAAACGGATAAACGACTTGGCAATGTTTCTTCTTTCTGAGAATTGTAGAGGCCTGGAATCTGTTACCTTTGGTGGATTTTCCACAGTTACCGATGCCGGCTTTTCAGCAATTTTGCACTCTTGCCGAAATTTGAAACGATTTGAAATTCGTAATGCATCTCTGCTATCAGACTTGACCTTTCACAGTATGGCAGGCGCTGCAGATACCCTTGTTGAGATGAAGGTGTTTTCATGCAACCTTATAACTAGTGAAGCTGTATTGCAACTGGCATCTTGTACTAGGTTAGAGGTGCTCGATTTGTGTGGATGCAGGAGCATAGCAGATACATGCCTTGGCTGCTTGACATTTTTCAATAAACTTGCAACATTAAACCTAAGTGGGGCTGATGTGACTGACAGTGGTCTTGCTGTTCTTGGCGGTGGACGTTCTCCCATTGCACGTTTACGTCTTAGGGGCTGTCGGAGAATAACTGATAAAGGAATTTCTCTTCTATTGCTGGGTGAGGGACAATTAGCAAGACACTTGCATCTCTGGATGTTGGTTACATGCCAGGAATATCGGATGAAGCTATTTATACCATTGCTTCATCCGCTCGAGCGGTTACTGAGTTATGTATGAGGTATTGCTTCTTTGTGACAGATGCTTCATTAAAAGCATTAGCTTTAAAGAGAAGGCCGCTTGATGGAACTTCACCCCTCAAAAGGCTCGATGTTTTTCACTGCCCTAGATTGTCAGTCGAATTAGTGGGATTTTTGAGGAAGCCATCATTCCTTAATTTGAGGTGGCTGGGTGTTGGCCTCACTGCCGCAGCTTCCAGAAAAGATGACTTCGCTCAAATTTGCAAAGACCGAACGTGGCTGACCCTTTGTTTTGATGGTTGTGAAATAGGGTGTCATGATGGATGGCAATTTCACAGGCCTCAAGGTGGCTGACATCCAACGTGCGTTCATTTTTTGTACATTCGCGGCCAATGCCAAGTCTGGTTCATGCATGGCAACTTTATACAAAGCTTTTCTTTTCTTTTGGCTTTTTGGTAATATAACCTAAAGATTTAGCATATATTAAATAGTAGACTTGTACGTTTTTTTTTTTCTTAACCTCTAGTCTAAGCGGTGACTTGCAACCCCTTTTTAAACTATATGCTTCGTCAAAACTGAAGGCCATAATCCCGGTGTATGCTCATTCTTGCACTCAAAAAATAATAATAATAAAAAAAAGACTCCACTTCCGTTGGCGTTAAACTCCTGCTCAAGTGCGGAGAGACGCTCCTCCATTGACTCGTCATCACGTAAAGAAAATTCCCACACGCATGAGATCACACCCGATATACCCTTTTATATTATAAGAATGAGTTATGTGTAAAAAAAGTTTATATAATAATGACTTGTAAATAAAGAAAGTTCGAATTTCAATCACATGGACAGAGACTTTTTAAAAATGTGAAATATATATATATTTTTAAAACTTTTGATACAATTAAAAACAAAATATGTTTAAATATATTTATCAAAATGCCCTCATTTTGCTACATTTAAAACTTTGATTTATGAACGCATTTGAGTATTTTTGAAATATGAAATTATTTTACAACCGCTTTTACATCGAATACAATTCTTATAAACTTATGTGCTGATATAATTGCTGAAATAATGTTATACACACATTTAATCGACATGTGACTTTTGTTGTACAATTAACACGAAAATATATTAACATATTGTGCAATTAACACATTACTATAACTAGCCCTTCGAGGATATTAAAAAACTTATATCTGATTTTGAGCGATTTCAACTAATATCTATAGAAACCTCTTGAAAATCGTAAAATTATAAAAACATTGATAAAACAAAGTACATAAGTGTGTGCTGCAATTAGAATGTACTATTATTAGTTTTGTCATATTTGACAACTATTTCTTTCCAAATGTACTATAATTAATAAAATCCTCTTTAACCACAGGCACCAAACACCCACGCACCCTAGTGTGTGTAGATATATAAAACATCCCTAATCCGAGGATACTGTAAATACCAAAACAAGCAAACAGCTTCTGTACTAGAAAAAAATCCTCTGCTACAATCCCCAGAACAAAAGCCAACTAACCCAATACCTTTTCGTCTTCTCAAACTCTGGAATACCAGAGGGTTACAACCAAGAGGAAAATGAAACAGAGATGCATAAACTCAAAATAAACATTGTCCCTAATTTCTATAAAGCTACTAAAGAGGGTCAAATACAGGATGGTCACTCTAAAGCTCAATCAGATCTCAGATAAATGCGGTTCGTCCACCCCTTCGACTATGTCTGTCATATGCTGTGTTAAATTTCTCGACCAGTTCATTTGTTGTACTGTCACACAGATGAATGAAATATTAGACATCGGAAGCAATAGAGTCAACTTGAAGACAGCAGTTCTCATTTCGAAAAGAATGATCCAACTTATATCTAGCTCATGGTGCCAATCAACTTTTCCATAATTCCTCCTTAAAAGAACCTACCACCAGTAAGTTCTCAAACGTTTTCAAACCATTTAACAAAGCTCAGAAACGAACCACCCATCCTAATGAGCTTTGACATAATGGATAAGAAACAGAATTGCCAATGTATAGAACACATCCAGGACTTGTTATATAAAATCTTCATCAAATATCCTGAAACACTTTATAGCGCAGTACATGAAGAAAAAGTATTTCATTAAGCATTACATCATACCTAGAACAGTTGGTGAGCATGGCCAGGTATGTAACCAATAAAGTGTCGCTGTACTCCTGCAAAATTAGTGTGAAAAGAGTAACTCAACCACAAAGTCAAGTAACATGATCAACAAAATAATTTGAATTTAATTTAAAACTTTTGTACTACTACTTCCACATCAGCAAAAACAAAGAGAAAACAATAGCAGTAAACATAATCCCTCCCCATGAAGCTAGAAACTTTTACACAAAATATGGCAAAGAATTGAGATCACTCACCATCAAGAAATCATCTTGAAACTTTTCTGACTCTATTGCAGGTAATCTTCTCAATAGACTTGACACTTGACGTAGTAGGGAGTTCTCACATGGAATATCACCTATATTTGGAGTACCAATGCAACAAATGAAGTTCTGGATCTGTGTAAATTATTTCTTCCAGAAATGCATCTTAATTGGAGATTGGAACTTTTAGTCGTCAATAACAATGGGAAAAACTACCTTTCTACAGACACAGGAAAAAAGCAAAAACTCCACTTCACCTAATATAATGTGGTCTACAGACACAGGAAAAAAGCAAAAACAACTACCTTTCTGCATGCCAAGAAGATGCTGATGCAGCACTCTGATTCTGCTATTTAGCATCTTGATGGCGCTATGTATGCCAGTCAGATGAGCAGCCACTGAACAACCCAAAATAAAAGAAACGGGAAGTTATGTCCTAGCCTTCCTACGGGCAGAACTAATCAGAACATCAGCAGAAGTAATCATAAATGTGAATTTCATAAGTTGTTACGGAAGCAAGGAAAGCTCACACTGAGTTGCAGCAGAACCCCCATCAGATGGTTTGAGATGTGCGACATGATCAACCGAGATCCTTTCTGCTTCAACAGTCTTAATAGCAATTACAACTAAATTAGTCACCTCAGGCACTTGCATTTGATATGATCTCAAGAATAAATGATAAGTGAAATACCTCAATGGTGTAGCTAGCTTGGACAAATATAAGCTGTGGAATCCCATCAATGACATGCAGCTCTTTGAGAGGTAAACAAGTCACATATAGCACAAAAGGATCAGAAAATCAGTGCAATAATCAACTCAAAGAAAGTACCTAAAGTGGTTTCTCATGATAGAAATGTTTCTGAAACATATGATTAAGGGTCTGTCCTGGAAGCCATTGAAAATTATAAAGGCGGCCATAGCTGAGGTGAGAAACTAACGTATTCTAAGAGGAAATTCACATAATGCTGACTCGGTGAAAGTAACTGAGCATCTAGACGGACAAGAGGAACAGCCTATAGGTTCTGAAACATATGATTAAGGATCTATTCCAGGAAACCAATGGGGAATTTTAAATAAGGCCATGGCTGAGCTGGGAAACCAACATTCAGGAGGAAATTCACATAATGTTGCCTCAACAAGTAATCGAGCATCTAGAATTCCAACAGATAGTGTGGTTTCCCAATACATTTAATGGAACACTTTACTCAAAAAGTAGCTTTAATATGAATTTGATTCCTCTAACTCCATTAACACCAGAACATACATCAAGGCATCAGCAACAGGAAAACTATCTAAAATTGCCCTTAATAGACACTTGATCTTACAGGCCTTCTCAATTGAAAATATATCACCTACCTGGCATATCTTAAGAAAACAGCGGAATTTAATGAGGGCTTATTTTACTGGATATT